CAGCCCCCCCCCCCGGTCCAGCGGCCCAGAGCTGCAGGAGTGAGAGCGAGGAGGGCAGAGGGGTGTTTAGAATGCAGGTTAACAGCGTCATACAATGACACCCTGGGGCAGGACACTTACGTGGCCTGGATGCAGATCCTTGTGGCCTCGCAGGCTCCCTCTCCCGCCCCCTGCAGGCTGTCTCAGGCTAGCCTCACACCACACCACCTGATTGCTGCACGAGTCTGCTGCACGAGTCTGCGTGTGTGCACGTAGGCAGGGTTGCTCGGGTTTTTCTTGGACAAAGAAGTGCAAATGCACGTTCTGGGGGTCACTAAGGTCTCTGGGCTGTCCTGGGGGGATTACGGCCGGACTCCCTCACTGTCAGTGCCCTCAGCGGCAACCTCCCAGGTCCCCACTACAGAAGCCCAGGCCACAGCTGCAGGCAGTTTCCATGCCATGTGTGCAATTGGCCACAGGGGGGCGCCCCTGGCTGCAGGTTCATTCCCATCTTGCAGCAAGTGGTGGTTGAGGCCAGATTCCTGAACTGAGCTGGGCAAACACTGCAGTCCAGGGGAAGTCCTGACTCCTGCCCCTCCTTCCTACCCTGAGCATCTGTCTTCTCCCCGCTTTCCTGGGCTTGGGCCTCCCTGAGCTGGGAGGTGGCAGCTGCTGCTCCCACAGTGCACAGCAGAACCCGGTGACCTCGACACCAGGAGGGATTAGGGACAAACAGGGTCTGACCTAAAGCCAACCTCACCCCGAGAAAGAAAAGCGTTTTCCAAGCAGGCGTGTGGTGGGAGCCACAGTGCGAGCAGAGTGTGCACCCTAGGAGCCTGTGGCAGACCCTGACGATGCCGGGGCAGCCGTAGCATGAGCAGCCCTGGAGCTGTCGGGGCAGGCAAGGTCCCCGAGGAGGCCCGGGCGCCTGATCCCTCTGGGGAACCCGCCCAGCCGAGGCCAAGACCAGCTCCCTGCAGACCCCAGCCCTGCCTGATGCCAGCCTTATGCTCCCCCAGCAGCTCAGACGCTAGCTGTGTCGCGGGGAGGCAGGGAGGACGGAGGTGTGGCTGTCCTGTCCCCCTTCCACATTCCCCTGACCCCCATTTTCTCGGGATCCCTGCTCCCCTCTACTACTGATCCCTGGGGCTGGTGGTCTCCCCACTTCCCTGCTTTTCAATTTCTCAGCCTTTGCCGCACCGCAGATGGAACCAGTCCGGCAGTTTCCAAGGGGCTGGGACCTGGGTCTCACGCCCAGAGCATCTGCTTGAGGCACTGCCTGAGGACAGAGGGTGTGGAAGCTCCCCAGGAGAGCCCAGTGTGCGGCAAGCTCAGGACACCTGTGTCCCTCCAGGCCTCTCTGGCCTCCACCTGCCGCAGGCCCCGTCTCGCCCTGAGAGGGGCTGCAAGCCCTTCCTTCTCCACTCAGCAGCGAGGCTCCCTTTGTCCCCGGGGGACAGTGGGTCCTGGGACGAGATTGCTCACCAGCGTGCTCAGCAGCTAGTGCAGACTCCGGCACTAAGGCACTGACAAAGCCTGTTGGCACCAATAAATGACAGCAGTGTCGGCTCTGGGGGACAGAGCCTGTTTCAGGACCCCCCCACCCCCCAGTTCCTAGGCCTCCATCACGCTGCAGGGGACGGGACACACGGCGTGGGACAGAGCCAAGGACTTACTGCCGGACCTCCCAAAAAGGGCTTCCAACCCCGCTGTGCAGTAGGCTGGGGGCCGGCTGGGGCGAAGCCACCGACAAACACGCGACCCGGAGGGCAAGCTCCCCGCCGGCTGGGGGCGGCCAGCCGGCTACCCGGGGCCTCGGCCTTCACCTCCCGGGACAAATTCATCTGAGTTCAGAAGGCCAAACTGTTCTTCCAGGAGTTCCCCTTTGTTATCCAACGATAGCTTCTTCCTTGACAGGAAGCAATCCGCATCCTCACTCAAACCGCTGTGTCCCGGGGCAGGCGACAGGTGGAACTGGTGTCTTTCCCTGTCCCTTCCTGAAGTACCTAAGGGACACTGTCGGCAACATCTTCAAAACGCCAACGATGGCGCGTTTTCGTCCCGTCCAAATGAAGGTGGCCCAGACCACTGTCTCAGAATGACACTCCGCCAGACCGAGTCCCAGCAGTGGACACCGGGTGACCCAGCACCAATGCCCTCCTCCTCCAGGTGGGGTCTCATTACTAACATCCCAAGTGGGCTTCCCCGAGACAGTGTCACCGGGACTCTTCACTCCTGCAGTCTGAGGGGGGCGGGGATGACAGAGGCCTGGGACCACGACTGGGACTGAGCCGGTAGCCCGCGGTGCGGAATCTGGGTCCCCACTCCAGCTCTCCCGCCTCCTGGCGCCTGGGTCAGCCCACGAGGACCCTGGTAGTAACCTGAGGCTGGAAGAGGAGACGGAACCCCTGGCAGAGCCCTTCAGTCAGAGGCGAGGGCTTGGTCTGCCCCCAGGGAGGCTCCTCAGGGGGAACCCCGAGAACCTGGAAGTGTGAAGGGTTCGTGTCAGGATCCGAGTTGTTAAGTGGGAGTCGTGGGAATGAAGCGTTCTGTCGGGTTAACTGCCAGCGACAATCACCAGCCTGTCTGAGAGGCGCAGCGACGCGCCCACTCCCCACCAGCACCGTGGGTGGACGCTCCGGACCACAGGCCTCGCCTGAACGGGGTCTCCGCTCTCAGCATGACCTGCAGTCTCCGCCGGCCCTCCCACTCCTCATCTGCAAACCGGAGCAACAGCCGTGCCCATCCACAGAGCCACGGCTTGTGGGACGCCCCACGTGGCCCCTTTACGGCCCGCAGGCCCTGGAGGCCGACAAGGCGTGGGGCTAGAGTAAAAGCAATTTGTCCGATTCGATGATTCAAATGTGATGTGAAAAAAAATACGACTAAAAACAAGTCGAAACACAAGACGAAGTAAAACCAGGGCTCCCGCCTGCGCGGGGTCAGGACGGAGCTTTGGCGCCATCCACGCCCAGCTCCACCGCCTTCCCCAGGGCGAGCGTGCAGGGCCCGGGACGCAATGCAGCTCACTGGAGGGCCCTCCGATACGCGGCCCGGACACTGGGGGCATTCTGCAGCCTCCAAGGTGTCCCCTAGGTCAGGACACACCTGCCCAGTGGCAGCTGGCTCTCATTCCCACCCAGCGCTCCCACACCCCGCGGCCCCCACTTACCCCGGCCTTACCCTGGCCCCCATTTGCCCCAGCCCCACTTACCCTGCTCCATCATCTCCAGCAGCCCCTTCTTGATGAGCTCCTCCCGGCCCTGCCTGCCGGCCATCTTCTTCTCCAGTACTGCACAACACACAGACATGCAGGTGAGCCTCGGCAAGGGCATGGCGGGGCCCCACCCAGGCCACATGGAGGGCGGCCCAGTCCACGGAAACCGAGACGCAGGCATCTCTGGCCGCTGCAGGGCTGGCTGGGGGCTGCTCAGCCCTTCCAGCATTCTTCATCAGTGGGTGAGCTCAGAGAACGGCTAACCAGGCCGAGCGAGGCGGCAGGTGCTGAGCTATGCAGGAAGCACCTGTGGACAGCGCCCGACAGCCTGTGCACCCACTGCTCTTCCCACCCTGCACCAAACACTCCTCGCTTTCCAGCGGGGGCCGCCCTATCTCTGCCCTGATGCCCTGGGTGCTTCCCTGTGGTCCGTGCTAAGTCGATCCTGACCACAGTTACTGCTTAGCACAGCCCTTCTGCCGGGCGGTCCTCCAATGACTTGCAGGTTAAAGCTCTCCAAGAGCTCACCAGATGGACGGGCAGAGGAGGCTAGACCCCACGCCCTTCCCACCAACCTGTTTCCAAATCTCAGTCCCCCGTCTCCCTACCCAGAGCAAAGCACGCTCATCCACCAGCCCTCCGCCTCTCTGCTCCTCCCTCCCTCCCGGGCAAGGCGTCAGCCTGGGGGAACACCAGGGGCCTGCAGGTGAACCCAGTTTCCAATCACAAAACTCCACAACCGCTCAGGTGTGTTTGGAAGATGCATGGTGCGGACTGAGGAGCTGGGGGTACGGCCATGGGCTCTGCACGTGCAGGTACCCTGCGCGATGCCCTTAGGGAGCAGTTGCCTGCCTTCTGAGCTCGCCAGGGAGGGCAACCGCAAAGGAGCGATACTGAGGAAACGACCACTTCACTCAGCAGTACCTACTGGGCACCTGCCACATGCCGTGGGGTGGGCTCCGTGCTGGGGGCCCCTGGGGCACAGAACAGGCTCAGCCCCCCCTCCGTGGAGAAGTGAGAGCTGGGAGCACACCGATGACAAGGAGATAGTCGGTCACACGTTTACAGAGCACCTGCTCTGCGCGGCACTGCCCTGCAGGGACAGTGTGTTTGCACAGGATGGAGGGTGAGCATCTGCAGGTGGCTGAGTGGCAGCGTCTGGCACCCAGGGACCTGGCAGGGTGGGCCATCTGGGTGGGCTCCCTGAGGGTATTTTCACCAGAGCTTTAGGATGGTCAGGGAGACCCAAACTGCAGGGAGAGTTCCCAGGCAACGGGAACGCAATCCCCTTCCTCACCCTGTTTCTGAGCCAAATCCCAGCACCAGAAGTGTGGTTGAAATTGACATGCTGGACTCTGACTCTGGGGGTGGCTGTGGTCCAGGCCCAGAAGAGATGGTGAGGGCTGTGGGAGCCAGCGGCCCATGGTCTGACCACACCAGGCAGTGCTCTCACGCGTGTGCGTGCTGAGCTGGGCAGGACAGAGACCTCCGCCCACATGACGAGGTCCTCCAGCCCCGAGAGGCAGCGCTGAGGGTCACTGGCTCCCCTCGGCGTGGGACACAAAGCCTCTGAGGGTTGTGGAGCTTGTAGATGGCCGAGCCAGATCCCGGCCACCTGCCAGGAAAGGGACGGCTGGAACGGCCATTTCCCATGCTGCAGCCCGACAGCCCTCAGGACCGCCCAACCCTCGTCCTGCCCAAACCCATTCCCTCTGTTCCCCCTTAAATCACCTCCACCGCCAGGTCATCTCACTCTATCCAGCAGCACCCAGGAAATCAGGGAGGATGGCTGAGAAGGAATATAGGCAAAGGGGTCCTGGTCCCCAAATTCCCACACGACTGGATGAGGGCCCGGGGCTGGGGTTGGCCTCGAGCCCCCCAGTGCCCTTGCTGGGCCCCTAGGCCATCCTGATGGGCCTATGCAGCACAGGGAGGGGCCCTTGGGAGGAAAGGACAGACTTTCGGCCCACAGCTGGGGTGCTGAGCCCACCCCAGGGCACAAAGGTCACCCTGCTCAGCCCGTCTTTCACTGACACCGATGGGCTTCCCCAGGGCTGTACCCGCTGCCAGGATGGTGATGTTCCTCTGGAGCTCTAGGGGGCCGACCACATCTCGGCTCAGGGGCCCCTGGGTCTCTCGGACCACCGTCTCCCCTGCCTCCCACAGCCTGCCCGGTCACTCCCCACCCCACCCGGGTTGGGGTCTGTGACCTACCCGGTGTCTTTCACTTGTGACCCTCCCATTGGGTTCCCAGGTCCCCAAGCTGCTCTTGGGAAGCCTAGTGGGAGGGGCCTGGCACACAGCGGTGCTGGGGACCCTACGAACGGTGCTTCTGTTTCTCCTTGACAAGGGGGTTCTGTCAATTAACTTCTGGGGGGCTTAGGGTAATGTGGTAACATGCGTGAAGGTGCCACAGAGGCCCTGCTCCTGAGCTGGCTGCCCACCCTCGTGTGTAGAGCCTGGGCATGGGGCCCGCTGGTACTGTCTGTGCCATCTCCGAAGCCCTGCAGGCCTGCACCCCTTCAGAGCTGGGTCCCCTTGGCGGAGACCCCAAGGACTGCCAGAGCAAGAGCCTGATGTGGGCACTCCTGGGGCTGGTGCACTCCTGGGGCCGGGGCACTCCTGGGGCCGGGGCACTCCTGGGGCCGCTGTACTCCTGGGGCCAGGGCACTCCTGGGGCCAGTGTACTCCCAGGGCTGCTCCCCAAGGCCAGGACTGACCACGTGAGCAGCGACCACCCTCACTGTTCCTAGCCAGAGCTCAGAGGCATGCAAGTCCAAGGCATGGCCCTGGGGTTTCAAGGCTCATCTCTCCCCATTTGCTTCTCAGGAAGCGCTGACATCCAAAACACCAGGCCCGGCTGTTGGGAGGACGTGGGGACGGGATGCAGGTAGAGTTCAGAGTGGGGCAGCAGGCTGGCATTGTTCTCTAGGAAGAGAGGCTGTCACGGCCACTGAGGGCCTGGATCCTGAGTCACCTGGGGACTCCAAGGACAGTGAGACCCGGGCGCCACCGTCCAGGTGAGACTTTGGGTGCGGAGGGCAAGGACACGCATAGTGGGCACTGGCATGGGCTGGAGCCTGCCTTTCCCGGGCAGTGAGCCGGGCCCGCTGCACGCCCAGCCTCTACCCCTGCCCCGCCTGCACTGAGTCAGTCTCTTTTTTCTCCAGGCCCCGGGACACTTGTACACACTGACTGTCGGCTTGGGCAGAGCGTCCCGTGGGGGTGCCTGGTGCCAAACCCCAGCCAGATGGGACCCATGGGGGCCAGTAGAGGAGGTGGCCAGAAAGCAGCTGATCAGCTCCTGGTCATCCCCAGCCACAGAGTACCGCATGCTGCTGCTGTGGCCAGGAGGGACGGTAACACCCCCACTCCCCACCCTGCTCTGCTGCTGTGACCAGGAGGGACGTAACCCCCACCCCCGCCCTGCTGCTGTGACCAGGAGGGACGTAACCCCAGCCCTGCTCTGCTGCTGTGGCCAGGAGGGACGGTAACCCCCAGCCCCGCCCGGCTGCTGTGACCAGGAGGGACAGTGACCCAGCCCTGCCCGCCCACCTGAGGTCGTCTGCTTCAGCTTCTCGTTTTTCTTTTTCCTCCATTTCCAGGGTTTGAAGATCCTGCCCAGGGTGGCCAGTTTGCTGTTCCTCCTCACGGGGGGAGTTCGGATCCCTGAGACCAGATACTCGGAGCGCACTGGGGGGGTTTGGTCCATTTCATCTGGAAAGGAAAGCCGGGAGGGTCTCACGTGACTGCCAACCTCCATGACTCCCAGGGAACTGAGGCGGCCCCGAAAGCTGAGGACCTGAAACCTTCTCAGACCAGTGGAGGCGCACCAGGCCCGTCCTGACCAGTGTGCCCATGGGTGGCAGTGCCAGCTCTGGGCTGGGCTTGACTGTCCTGCCCGGGGGACTCCCTCCTGCAGCCCCTTACAGCCCTCAGAAGCCCTGCCTGACTTCCTTCCACCACTGAGACGTGGAAGCTTGAGCCTTTTCTTCTCTTCTCTCTCCTCTTTTTAGACGAAGTTACGCGCTACATTACGACCCTCTGATGTCACCCAGCAGCCGGGCTGCAGGCACCCCCCACCACAGTGGGCCCTCTGGGTGGGCCAGAATCCAGCCTGGCCTCCCGTGTCCTGAACCTTGGGAGAGGGGTGTCCTAGCAGCACCAACCACAGCAGCCAGGAGAAGACGAAGACTCGCATTAACAGTCCCACCTGCAGCCCCCGCCCAGGCCCTCGGCTCGCTCTCCCTCCATCCCCGCTGCCCTCCCTCCCTGCTGCTGCTCTGCTCAGAGACTCCAGCTGGGCCAGGCCCAGTCCGGAGGGAGCATTTCTGACTTCACCCTCACAGGGAGTCCACCTCACAGAGCTGCAAACGAGGTTCGGGCGGTGGCCCGTCACAGAGCAGGAAACGCCGCGGGCCGAGCTCTGGGAGTCCAGAGTCCCAGCGTGCATGCCTACGCTGTATCAAGAGAAACTGTGAACCTGTCACCCGACCAGGACTGGGGGACAGCAGGTGACCAGGCCCATTGCGGAGTGCAGCCACTCTAGCCATCACCAGCTGCCTGCTAACTGTGCCAGGCGCCGCGTCTGTAGGTGGCCGTGAGGACCCGCGCGGAAAGCCCTGCCATGCAGGATGGCCCCACTCGTTAACTGAGATCTTCCTTGGTCTCAGACACCAAGGAACTGACTCCAGTGACGTCCCCACTGACTTTCAGGGGCTGTTCCAGAGCCCAGGACATGTGGGGATCCGGGCAGCGGAGGCTGCTGAGGGACCTGTCCTGCCCCATCCCCCAAGGCCACGCTGCGGGCAGACGGCTACTCCTGGCAGAGGCGATCCACTGAGTGTCCACTGGGCGTTCTTGTCCTCTGGGTGTTCCTGTCCACTGGGCGTTATCGTCCTCTGGGTGTTCCCGTCCACTGGGCGTTATCGTCCACTGGGTGTTCCCGTCCTCTGGAAGTTATTGCCCTTGGGACATTCCTGTCCACTAGGCAGTCCTGCCCACTGAGCGTTCTCGTCCCCTGGGAGTTCTCATCCCTGGGGCGTCCTCATCCCCTGGGCGTTCTCGTCCCCAGGGTGTCCTCGTCCCCTGGGCGTTCTTGTCCCCGGGGTGTCCTCGTCCCCTGGGCGTTCTCGTCCCCTGGGCATCCTCGTCCTCTGGGTGTCCTCGTCCTCTGGGAGTTCTTGTCCTCTCCACCCTGCCCACACCTGTCAGATGGGAGTGGAGCTGCCTGTCTAGCCCACACAGCCTGGAGAGCCGCTGCCCTGGAGCCATGCTCAGCCCAGGGAAGGAGGGGCCAGGTCTTCCGAAGCCTGAGGGTTTGTTTGAGGATGAAGACAAGGACCCCAGAGATGAGCTGGGGAGACGAGGGGGCACAGTCGTCCCTTCACTGGCACCTCACAGACACACACCACGCCAGATACAGGGAGCCCTGGGTAGGGGGGCGGTGTCGGATGGGATGCCCACAGGAGGTGCCGCGTGGGCTCCAGAGAGGGCACAGGTGCTGCCTGAGCTCCCAGCAGCCACGGCCGAGGAACGGCACTTCCTGGAAGTAGAACAGACTTTCAGCCAGACCCCGGACACTCGGCCGATGCCTACACTCACGGCCCCAGTGGGGACCCAGCTGCCCTGTCTGCAGCCACCAGGCCTTCCTGCGGGCTCCCCCACGACAGTAGAGGCCAATCCCCGCACTGCCTGCTCACGACACCCCTGCCCCTCTCATTCAGGACAGGGTGCAAAGCGGTGGCCGAGCCTGCAGTCCAAGCCCCGCCTGGCCCTGCCAGCCTTGTCATCGCCACTGCTGGGCATCGACACCTGTCGTGTGTTTACGGGGCTGGCGTGATGTGGTGGCAGAGGGCTGCTGGCTCCTCCCGGGCTCTGCCGCCACCTAAGGGGAGGTGAAACCCTGGCTCCACTCCCACCCGCATCCTCCCTCGCCCTACCTGCTGTGAGCGTGTGACCCGCTTGACCAGTGGATGGCATGGGAGGACCAGCTCCCCACCGTCGCCACCAGCTTTAACCGAGCAGCTGCGTCCCACCCGTCCACTTCCGCTCCTTGTGGCTAGGGCGGGTACGGGGCTCCCCCCAGTGTCTGACACCCAGGTCCCCACCCCGGGGTAGACCACATTCCTCTCTCCCCGTAGGAGCCCACTCGTTCACTCCACCATTCCACAAACACAGCCTGGTGCCAGCCGTGCACCGGCTGTCACGTGGTCCGGGGCGGGCGGAGGCCTGCCTACACGGGCAACGGTGACCTGCAGGGAGACGGACGCGGAGACACTGGGTCAGGTCGAGCCCTCGTGCACCGTCGTCCTCCGCTGCCCTGTCTTCCTAGCCTTCCTCATCACATTTGTCACCTGGTGTGTGAGTACACGCATGCACACACACACGCATCCACACGTGCACACACGTGTTCATCTGTCCATGATCATCTCACTCCCCCACTCCCTCCAGGCTCCATGGTGGTTTACGGCTGTGGCATCCCCAGCACGAGGACAGTGCAGGGCAGGTGAGGTGGGATCCTGAAGAGGTCATTAGGACTACAATGGGGAGGCCAGGGAAAGGCTGTTCTGGGGGCCGTGGGAGCCAGCCCACAGAGGGGAGTGGTGAGGGGCAGGTGTCCCAGACGGGAAGGGAGCGGCAGTGGAGGGGAACGCCACGGACAGGGGTCTGAATTTCATTCCAGTGTCTCAGGGGGCTGCTCCCGGGGTCTGTAGCCCAGAGACCTTAACCACCTGCCTGTGTCAGCTGGGACCATCTCAGCCTGGGCTGCTCCTCCAGGCCCTGGTGCCACCAGGGGCGTGCAACCCCATGCCCCTTGGGGCTCCTGAGGAAGCGTCCTCCCTCCCCACCTCCACCCTTCTCCCAGGTGCTCCACGTGAAGCCAAGTGAGGGCTGGGTCTTCCCAGACAGGAACTGCTCGTGTGCTCAGTGACGGAGTCACTGACAAAGCACCCCAGAGAGCGACAGAAGTTTGTCTCGGAGCATGCGCGGGGCTAGGTGGGCCGGGGGAGGCCTCCTGAGCACCATGTGGCCCACACACACTCAGTGGGGTGTGTGTGTGGACGGGTGTGGACGGGCCTGAGTGGGTATCCACGGAGGGAGGGAGCGATGCTTGGGAGGACCTGGCCTTCCTTGAACTCCCACGTCTCACACTGGGGAGGTTCTGGGACGTGTGAACACATTAGCAGGTCCCCTGCCAAGTTCCAGGGCACCTCTGCGCCTCTGCGGCATTAGCAGCTCATTAGTGAGAACACTTTCCCACATCGGGTACCCGCGGGAGGCACCACCCGCAGCCCGGAGCGGGAGGCGCCTGGGCTCCCGCATGACAGCTGGGCAGAGCTGTGTGACACTGGACACCTGGAGCTGCAGGGGCAGCATCTTGTACCTGCTACTGACCCCGCACCTCTCCATCAATGGACCCCACAGGCCCATCCCATGTCTGGACCCCGTGGGTCAGTCAGGAGTGTCCCCAGCTGACCAGCAGCAAACCTCGCTGCATGTGCAGGCTCACCTCCGAGCCGGGCGCAGGGCCGACGCCCTTTCCCATGTTTCCCTCACCCCACTCTGGTCACTTGGCTGCACCCCGAGCTTCACGCCTTTCCCGTGGAACAGGCATCACCCATGACTACAAGATCGACCTGCCATGCTGAATCCCCGCTGCTGTCACTGGTTCTAGGCACCCAGAGGTGCTCGGCCAACACCTGCCAGCCTGTGAGCCTGGGGTTCAGCCTCAGTGGAGCTGGGCATTTCCACTCCCTCATATTCTACCCACAGGTCTCCTCCCATCCCCTGCAGAACACAAGGGAGGCAAGCATAGCTCCCCCGGGGGCGAGGTCCGGTCCCCAGAGCCACGTGTGCAGTGGCCACCTCATAGAGGAGACCAGCCTGGCCTGTGTCAGACAGCACTGAAACACGACATCGTCCCTGCTGGGGCCATTCATTTGCATGCTCATTCATCGGCTGCCGGGCGAGGCCTGCTCTGTGCCTGCACCACGCGGCATTGGAGATAGCCGTGAACACAGCCACACGCTGCCCTCGCCGTGTGAAGGGGAGGACACCACGGGCACAGAAGGTGACTTCAGCATATGCGGTGAGTCGTGAAAGAGGCAAGGAGGAAGTCGAGATACAGACCCCAGGGAGCGGACCCCAGTCCTCGCCGAAGCCTTCCCTGTGCGGCGCCGTCAGCCACCCACCAAACGTGCTGGGTCCCGTGCTGAGCAAAGCTGGGCCTGCAGGAACAAGGAGGCTCAGGCACCCTCCCCGCCCGGGGACTCGCCAACCACAGAGAAAACAAAGTGAAATTCCGACGGGATCAGAGCTGCCGAGGAACGGTTCCCTGCCCGGGGGAGGGCGCTCCGGGAAGGCTACTGGGCCCAGGGGGTTGGGCTCGCTGCTCAGGCTGGATTGTCAACTGGGAGTTGGATCGAAGATGCAGTTCATAAGGGCATGGCAGTCCACGGCGTTTGGGGTGGTGGGGAGAGTGCAGGGACCCTACATCTGAGGTCCCCTCTCTGAGGTTCAGAAGCCCAGTAAAATTTCCACATATAAAACTGGGATCCATAGGAAATGCCAACTTCCACTGTGCCAGTTAATGACTGTCACATACACACAAATGCACAGACAAAAAGCAACCTACTATCATCAACAGGGACTAAAACAGGCAAAATAGAGTCTCAAAGATTATTTTTAATATATCGGGAAATGAAAAACCATGT